TGTAGTCCCAGCTACTCGGGAGGCTGAGGCAGGAGGATCACTTGAGCCCAGGAGTTTGAGGTTGCTGTGAGCTATGATGACACCACTGCACTCCAACCTCAGTGACAGAGTGAGACCCTATCTCAAAAAAAAAAAAAATTCCCTCCAGGTTAGCGAGAAAATACTCCCAGTAACTGTTCGGATCAAACCGTTAGTTTTTTTTTGAGAGCTAGTTTTGTTTTGGAGACCACGTCTCACTCTGTCACCCACGCTAGAGTGCAGTGGCATCATCATAGCTCACAGCAACCTCTAACTCCTGGGCTCAAGCGATCCTCCTGCCTCAGCCTCCCGAGTAGCTGGGACTACAGGCGCGTGCCACCACGCTGGGCTAATTTATCCATTTTTAGTAGAGACGGGGTCTCTTGCTCAGGCTGGTCTCGAACTCCTGGCCTCAAGTGATCCTCCCACCTCAGCCTCCCAGAGTGCTGGGATTACAGGTGTGAGCCACAGCGCTCTGACTTCAGAACATTTGTATCACTCCATCAAGAAACCCTATCCCTATTAGCAGTCACTCTCCATTTCTCCCTCTCCCCAGTCCCCAGCAGCCACCAGTCTGCTTTCTATCTGTGGATTGGCCCGTTCTGAGCATTTCACATAAATGGGGTCACACACTGTGTGGCCCTTTGAGTCCAGCTTCTCCCACTCAGCATCGTGTTTTTGAGGTTCACCCACATCGCAGCAGGTGGCAGCGCTTCCTGCCTTTTTATGGCTGAGTACTATTCTGGTGTAGGGGTACCTCATATTTTGTTTAACAATGCACCAGTTAACGTGCCCTTGAAACACAGACGTTTGAAAATTTGATGAAGTCCGATTTATCTACATGTCTTTTGTTGCTTGTGCCCTTGGTGTCATTGTCTAACCAAGGTCATAAAGATATATGTCTTTGTTTTCTTCTGTTTTTTGGTTTAAGCTCTTACCTTTAGGTCTTTGATCCATTTTGAGTTGATTTTTGTATAAGGTAGGGCTCTGTATTAGTTTCCTAGTGCTGGTGTAAAAAATTGCCACAAACTTAGTGGCTTAAAATCACACTAGTCTATTATCTTACAGTGATGAAGTTCAGAAGTCAGAAATTGATCTCACGAGGCTAAAATCAAGGTGTCTGCAGGGATGGGTCCTTATGGAGAATCTAGGGCAGCAGTCCCCAACCCGGCCTGGTACCCGGCCATGGCCTGTTAGGAACCAAGCCGCACATCACTGCCTGAGCTCCGCCCCCGTCCCCTGTCCGTGGAAGAACTATCTTCCACGAAGCTGGTCCCTGGTGCCAAGAAGGGTGGGGGCTGCTGATCTAGGGGACAATCCATTTGGTTGCATTTTCCAGCTTCTAGAAGCCATCCACATTCCTTGACACGTGCCCCCTTCCTCCATCTTCAAAGCCAGCGACAGCAGGTCAGGTCTTTCTCGTGCTGCCAGTTCCCTGGTTCTACGTCTTCTACTTCCCTCCTCCATTTATAAGGGCCCCTTGGATTACCTCGGGCCCAGCTAGAGCATCTATTTTAATCACAGCTAATTAACAACCTAATTCCACTGGCAACCATCATCACCCTCTGCCACGTGTCCTGATATATTCACAGATTCTGGAGATTAGGGCATGGGCTTCTTTGGGCGGGGGGCTGTTATTCTGCCGACCACAGGGCCCAATTTCTTTCCTTCACATGTGGCTGTCCCATTGTCCCAGCACTATTTGTTGAAAAGACAATTCTTTCCCTTTGGAGTAGCCCTGGTTCTGTGGCCAAAGATGAGTTAATCACATATGTATGGGTTTATTTCTGCATTCCCGGTTCGAATCGTCGATGTAGATGTCTGTCCTTGTGTCAACACCACACTGTCCTGATTACCATAGCTTTGTAGAAAGCTTGAAATCACGAAGTGTGAGTCCTCCAATTTTGTTCTTTTTCAAGATTGTTTTGGTTATTCGGGGGCCATTTGCAATTCCTTATGAACTTTAGGACTAGCTTGTCAATTTCTACAGAAAAGATGGTTAAAATTTTGATAGGGATTATGTTGTATCTGTAGGCCAACTGGGGAGTATTACGATCTTAACATTATATTTTCCAGTCCACAAACGTGGGATGTCTTACCATTCATTTAGATCTTTTTTTTTTTTCGCAGTGTTTTATAGTTTTCAGTGTACAAGGCTTGCACTTCTGTTAAATTTATCCCTAAGTATTTCTTTATGATACTATGGTAAATGGAATAGTTTTCTTAATTTGCTTCTCATTTAAAGATGCACTACTTCTGTGACTCTCATTGTGCTTACTACGAGCAAGCGACAGAGAACAAAAATAGCAAGATATTTATGATAAAAAGTGAGAAATCTTCAAAACCCACCAAAATGCGCCCTCCTGCAGAAAATCTTCCCGAAGCCCTTCATGCCACAATACCGCGTCCCCTTCTTGCACTCCTCTCTCGGGCCCTCCCTGACACCACGAGGTTGAGCGTTCCAGCTCCGCCTGCCCCAGCCCAGGCAAGGGCTTGGCCCAGTGGGGAAAGAATCAATGGGTGGGGCAGGATCGAGTGCCCGGCCCTGTCGTAGCTTCACTTGTAGAACTGCGCATGTGCCATAGGCGGCCGCCCACAGCGCCCACACCAGTGTGGCAGGGCGGGTCTTCGCGCAAGCGCAGTAGTGGCCGTCGGGAGCGCTACGGCCTCCCTGCCGCCGCCGTCGCCATGGCCGCGCCGGCCCCGGGCCTCATCTCGGTCTTTTCGAGCCCGCAGGAGTTGGGCGCGTCGCTAGCGCAGCTGGTGGCTCAGCGGGCAGCGTGCTGCCTGGCGGGGGCCCGCGCCCGCTTCGCGCTCGGCCTGTCGGGCGGCAGCCTGGTCTCCATGCTAGCCCGCGAGCTGCCCGCCGCCGCCGCCCCTGCCGGGCCCGCCGGCCTCGCGCGCTGGACGCTGGGCTTCTGCGACGAGCGCCTCGTACCCTTCGAGCACGCCGAGAGCACGTACGGCCTGTACCGGGTGAGAGCTACGGGGGCCGCCGGGGGCCAAGCCGCCCGGGCCGCCGGCACCTCGACTACGGGGGCCGCCGGGGGTCAAGCCGCGAGGGCCAGCCCACCTGCGAGCCTCGCCCGCGCAGGTCTCGCCCGCCCCGTGCCCTTCTCCCGGCAGGGCGAGGAGGGGGCTGCCCGGGCCCTGAGGTCCCACCTGGGCAACACCGCTCTCCACTTCTCCGTGGCTGCGCCGACGGGGCTCTGCAGTCCCTCGTCGTGCTTTATCCGGTGACCAGGCGGAGGGAGCCCGGAGGTGAAACCGCGGGCCCCATTCAGCAGCCTCGCAGCAATGGCAGTTAGGAGCGTGCGAGGGCCAGGCAGCAGGGATCTGCCGCGGAGCCTGGGCCTCGGTTTGCTCATCTGGAACCTCAGCGGTCTCCCAGCAGCCTGCCACTCTGATGGTCCCCTTTGGCGCGGACCGGCAGAAGCAGGGGACCGTCCCAGTTTTGCAGACAAGGAAACTCAGGCTGGGAGGAGCCGGGGCCTGCCCTGGGGTGCCCCGACTGCACCTGAGTCAACTCTCAACTCTCACCCCGGGGAGGGGTGGCAGGGGTGGACTTGGCCAGGTCCCTCAGGCCACCTGAGCTTGGCAACGTCAAGGGCTCCTTGCCAGGGGATCCTGGGCGTGTTGCCTTTTCTTTGCGTTACAAGTTTGAGGTGATGGTTTTCTTTTGTTTTCTCATAAGAGGGAAGGGTTACTGAGCCTTTTATATGCATCATCTCATGAACCCCCACCACAGCCTGTGAGGCAGGGGCTGTTAGTACACCCATTTCACAGATGGGGAAACTGAGGCCAGAAGGGGCATGCTCACCTGCCCAAGGCACCTAGTGACCAGACCGGGGGGCTGCACTTAACTTCTGCATTCCTGTGTGTTCTCCCAAGAGTTTCATTAAAAAGTGGGCTTTTGTTTTCTCTCTTTGCATGGCTTTTTAAAACCTTTTTTTTTTAATTAGGAAAACTGTACTTGCTCAAGTAACAAAACTCTAACAAAACAGTAAAAGAGAAAATTGCACGCATGTTGAAGGAGCGTCCCCAGTTTGTTGGGGGACACAGTGGAGAATTAGGCGGTTCCTTCCCAGGGCTCGTAGTGGGGGATGGGTACGGAGACGCAGGGAGGGACATGAGGAAGATCCACTGGGGCGTTAACATGATGCAGTATGAAAAGAGGGGTCGTGAAATGATACAAAGTGCTGGGCAAGGCGGGGTGTGAGCATCGTTTGTCAAGGGAGGTGGGGTCTGGGGCTCTGAGGAGGTGACGTTGAGCTGAGACCTGGAACGTGTGCAGGAGTTGGCCATGGGCAAGCTGGAGCAAGAGGGCGCAGTGAAGGCAAAGGCTGTGGCGTAGGGACAGATGGAGCCCATTTAGTTCCCTAGGGCTGTGCAACAAGGGTCACAAGCTGGGTGGCTTAAAACCACAGGAATTGATTTTCTGACAGTTCTGGAGGCCAGAAGTCTGAGGTCAAGGTGTTGGTAGGGCCACGCCCCCTCTGAAGGCTCAAGGGGAGGGTCCCATCTTGCCTCTTCCAGCTTCTGGTGGTCCAGGAGTTCCTTGGCTTGTGGCCACGTCACTGCAGTCTCTGCCTCTGTCTTCGTGTGGCCTTCTCTGATTCTCTGTGTGTCCTCTCATCTTGTAAGGACACCAGTCATTGGATTTAGGGCAGCCTTAATCCAGTATGGCCTGTTTTTAACTAATTACATATGTAAAGACCCTATTTCTTTTTTTTTTTCCTTTTGTTTTTGTTTTTTTTGTTGTTTTTTTTGAGACAGAGTAATAGGGTCTTGCGCTGTCACCCGGGCTAGAGTGCAGTGGTATCATCTTAGCTCACAGCAACCTCAAACTCCTGGGCTCAAGTGATCCTCCTGCCTCAGCCTCATGAGTAGCTGGGACTACAGGTGCGCACCACCACGCCCGGCTAATTTTTCTATTTTTAGTAGAGACAGGGTCTCGCTCTTGCTCAGGCTGGTCTTGAACTCCTGATGTGAAGCGATCCTCCCACCTCGGCCTCCCAGAGTTTACAGGCATGAGCCACCGTGTCCAACTAACAAAGACCCTGTTTCAGAATAAGGTCAGGCACATTCTGAGGTTCTGGGTGGACATGAGTTTTGGGAGGACACATAAGTGTGTCCCTCGGCAAGGAGGGACCCTTGTGCACCTTGGAGCTGAGACTGACTCTTCACTTGGGTGCAGGCTTCGTGGGGGTGGGAGGGCTGGCTGGGGCCTCCTTCCTGCAGCTCCACTTCCAGGAACCTGCCCAACTGATGCCACCCAGCCCCGGGATCCCTGTGCCTGTGATCAGTCCAGAGGGAGCTCCCAGGAGAAGCCCGGGAGGGAGGCAGGGCAGGCAGGGGAGGGGCATATCTCAGTGGGACAGGGCTGGAGCCCTGCACTTGAAGGAGGCTTGACGCCAGCTGCTTTTGAGTTAAGTGTGCTGCCAGCTCTGCTGCCATTCGCACGCCGGGGCACCTGCTGTGTGCTGGGCACAGGTGCTGGGCACAGGCAGGCCTGCCCCTCTCCCCGTCCCCCACAGTGGGGGAGGTGCAGGCAGGGGTGGCTGCTCGGAGGAGGTGGCCTGAGGGATGAATAGGAGTTTCCCAGGCAGGGCAGGAAGGAGGGTGGGGTCAGGAAAGGTCAGCAGGGCTGACTTTTATCCTGAGGGCTGAGGGACCCTGGAGGCTTTGAAACAGGACTGGTGTGGCCAGACGGGTGTCAGCTGTGTTCCCCCCGCAAACATTATGGGCTTCAAAGACCCCTGGTGCTTGGGCCACCTTTGCCCCTCTAGTGGCCCCAGGCATAGGAATCATGGTGATTTCAAATCACCCAGGAGGGCCACCCTCCCGCCCCAGGGACCCTCCTGCCCAGCCCCCGAGGGCAGCAGAGCTCGCACTTGCCCTTGAACCTCCTCGGCCATGAGAGGCGGCGTCACCCAGGGCTTAGGAACCCTGCGCCGCTCACCAACCGAGGGACCTTGAGCAAACGTACCAGTCTCCCTGTGCCTCAGTCTCCACATCTGTAAGTGGGCGTAATGACACTACCATCTGCAAGGAATCCTCGCCTGGGGGATCCGGGTGGTCACAGTGCTGTCGGGGATGTCATCCCTCTGTCTGCTGCAGACGCACCTGCTCTCCAGGCTGCCCATCCCAGACTGCCAGGTGATCACCATTAACCCTGAGCTGCCCGTGGAGGAGGCGGCTGAGGACTATGCCAAGAAGCTGAGACAGGTGAGTCCCAAGGAGTGGCCACAGGGAGACTACGCCCATTAAGTGGCCACACCCCCAGCAATGCAGCAGCCTTGTGTAATTGTCACCAGCGGAAACTGCCCTGGGGGTGGTCCCTGGACTCCTTGAGGAACCCACCCCCAGCCCCCACAAAGCCACAGCCCTGCCCTCGGGAACCTGAGGGCCTCCTAGATACCGTTGCCTGTGTAGCAGGCCTGGAAACTCACATCTTGGGACAGTTGTATCCCTAGACATGTGGCTTTGGTCACAGGCAAGGCTGAGCACTGTTTCCTGTGTTATAACTGCTCATATTTTCTGAAACCTGTCCCTGTGTGTCCTTTGAGGCCTCCCACCTACCTCACAACCTCTCTCAACCTTCTTTTCCCCTGCCAAGGCCTTCCAAGGGGACTCCATCCCGGTTTTCGACCTGCTGATCCTGGGAGTGGGCCCGGACGGCCACACCTGCTCACTCTTCCCAGACCACCCCCTTCTGCAGGTGAGCCTACCAACACAAGGCACAGGTTTCACTCTTGTCCCCAGCCCAGTCTCTGGTGTCTGGAGCTTCCAGAGGGAGGGCCACCTGCGGGGTAGGGCACCTAGAGCCGGGGTTTCATGTCAGCCTCTACCAACATACATGCCTGCTGGACTCAACCCTTCAGAGCCTCAGATCACCCATTTTAAAATGCGGGCCTTAAATCACCCACCAGAGAATTGTCGGGGTGGGATGGGGTGATGGCTGCACTGGGCCTGGCATGTATATGTGCTCCAGAACTAGAAGTGACGTTGTACTTCTGTCTCCACCACCGGCCTTTCTCCCCCAGGAGCGAGAGAAAATTGTGGCCCCCATCAGTGACTCTCCAAAGCCACCTCCACAGCGTGTGACCCTCACACTACCTGTCCTGAATGCAGCCAGAACTGTCATCTTTGTGGCAACTGGAGAAGGCAAGGCAGCTGTTTTAAAGGTAATAGCTGAGGGTTCCAGTCCCAGGAAGGTCATGGGCATATGGGCCCCAGGGATAGAATATGGCCCCAGACACTGTTGTGCTGGAAACATCAGATCTAAAGATAATTCAGTAATTCTTGGGTCAAAGGGGAGATTGAAACTGAGATTTCAGGCTACATAGGATTGAATGACTGTGAAATGAAATTGACGGGATGAGGCCAAAGGTGTACTCAGAGGTAAATTCATAGCATGAAAAATGCTTTTTTTTTTTTTTAAATTAAATAGGGAACCATTGAAAGAAATAAAGCACTTTACTGTAGAATTAGAAAAAGAACAATAATATAAAACTAAGAAAAGTCAGTGGAAGGAATAACTGAAACTAAAATCAGACAACAATGAGTTCATTAATATTTTTTAAAGTTTAGTTGAGTAGAGCCAAAAGATTGGTAAACCCTTAGCGAAGCCAATCAAGAGGGAAAAAAATCATGTAGCGTTAAAGAAATAAAAGGTACAATCACACATAATATTTTGGGAAAATATAAAATTCATTACGGTATTAAAAATAAACTAAATCATTAAAAAGTTTTAATTGCCGTCATTGAAAAGACCAACTATAGGAAAAAACTGGAAATATTTTTAAAATAAATGAATAATCCTTCTCGTAAACCACGAAGTCCACATGTCTTCGTGGGGGTGGCTTAGTGCTGGGGTTTAGGGTATGGACTCTCTCTAGTCCAGTAGACCAGGCTTCCCTGCCAGGGATTCCAGTGGTGTTGGGCAGCCACTTAACCCTCCATGCCTCAACTTTGTCGTCTGCAAGGTGGGTTGGGAGAGCTCCTCTGCATAGATTCCCCGAGGGTTGGTTGAGGGGTTTCCAGGGCAGTGTCCCCTCGTGCACAGAGCAATGCAGGCCATGGGAATTCAGGCAAGTGACTCAGCCTCCATAGCCTCAGCTTCCCCATAAAATGAGGGTGAGAACAAAGGCGACCCCAGAGGGCTGTCAGCAGAAGTAAATGAGTTAACATAAGTGGCACGATCCCAGCTCATTGCAGCCTCAAGCTCCTGGGCTCAAGCGATCCTCCTTCATCAGCCTCACGAGTAGCTGGGACTGCAGGCGTGTGCACTACCGTGCCTGGTGAAAGCAGTATTTATAATTCCTGCTAATTACGAGGTGAAATCAGGGGTCGGTACCCCATAGCTGTGGCTCACACCTGTAGTCCCAGCTACTCAGGAGGCTGCGGCAGGAGCATCACTTGAGCCCAGGAGTTGGAGGCTGCAGTGAGCTGTGAT